AGGTTAGATTTAATATTATAATTGTTTTGTTTGTTTGGCTTCCCTTGTATGGTTATTACTTGGCAAGAAATAACTTCCATGGTTAATCTGGTTGCTTCTCTCTCTCTCTTCCCCCCCCCTCTTGGGTATTTTTTGGTTTCCTCATTTGCTCTGCAGCAACTCTCCTGGTTCCTAAGCTAAAAGATCCCGGCAACCCCCAAAAATCCTGTAGGGTTTGCTCATCAAGTGGGTTATTACCAGAACAATTGTAATGTGAAAGTTGGGATAGGGACGTGCTGAACCTGGGACATATGAGGGTAGCAGCTTGGAAGTGCTGCTCGACCCAGAATGCGGAGTCCAGGGATATATAAGGGTTCAGCTTCAAAGTGCTGATTAACCCAGTCTTCTCAGACATGCTCAGTTAATGTGTGTGTTTTTGTGTGTGTGTGTGTTCGTTTGATTCTGGGTTGGAAGAACCCAGCCCTGGGGAACCTAGGTCCTGCAGGATAGCTCTACTGGGAGGGAACTTGCCCCAGGGAGAAGTAGAGCTCCTTAGGTAAACACAAGTGACAGAAGCAGTACATTGATAGAGTTACAGAAACGCCCCCCCCCCAACCCAGAAGAGTAACCCTAATAAATTAGCACACCCCAAAGTAACAGGCAAAGCTGGTAACACCAGCCAGTGAGAGAGTGGGTTTCCAGGATGTGAAGATACAGTTCTGCCAGCTCATTTACCATTGTTTGAATGGAAGCTGCTCTGTAAAACAGAGGGTAGGATAACAGCGCTAGGAAGGGAAGTGTGAAAAAATGGGATTGTAACAGAACTATTTTTAAATTTGAACTATACTATTGCTACCACTCATGCTGTAGTAGTCTTCCTGGAGAACTTCATCCTAATCCTTCTCATTGTCAATGTTGGTGAAAGAGAAGGAGCTAAAACATGCTGCATTTCGCTTCCCATGTCATAGATGAGTGAACGTATTTGCCTGTCTCCTACCTGTTTGCTCACCTGTGTAGATGCCTGTGATGAGGCATCTGCCCCACACTGGCCCATAAGGGGTTAATAGACCCCTAGGGAGGCTGCACAGGAGGCAGCCAATCACAGAAGGGCTTTTAGGAGCAGCCAATCAGGGCTGGGCAGGCCCCGTATAAGAAGAGCTGCAGTATAGAGCTGCTTCAGTCACTCCCTGGAGCTTGAAGAGGGAGGACTGGTTGCCTTGCAGGTAGAGGGCAGTAAGCACCTGGGACTTAACAGTGTTGCAGGCAGAGACCCAGGGAGCTAAAGGCAGCTCCTGGCGGGCTGAGGCCCTGAAGCAAAGGCAAGAGCAAGAGGGGTGCTAGGGCTGCGGGGGAGTGGCCCTGGGAGATCTTCAGAGGAGTCAGAGGGGACGCAGCAGGTGGTGGCCATCTAGAGTGGCTGGGACCCGGAGTAGTGGGTGGGCCCAGGTCCCCTCCCCCCCCCCCCCCCCGCCCTGCCGCTGAGGAAGTGGCTGGAGTGAGGGATGGTGGTACTGTCCCCTAGAAGGGGGGAACATGGAGTGTGGCACAGCCGGCGGGCTGTGTAATGAAGAGGATGCTGCGGTCCTGGGAGTAACATGGGTCCCTGGAGCAGAAGTGACAGTGGCAAGACATTACCAGAGGAGATCTGCGCTGGTATACAGAGATAATCCCCAAGACAGCCAGCAGGAGGTGCCACAGTGGTGAGTCAAGCCCTATCACAATGCCTAAGAAAATCTTTGTTTCCATTCCAGCCATTCCACAAGTTTGGCAAGACTGGAAGGTTCTGGGGCCCGTCCTCTCTCTAGAGCACAACATATGGCCCGTGGTCCGCATGGGCTCACTGTGTGGCCCATGGGGGGTGAGTAGGTAAGCAGCAGGGTGGGGCAAGGCAACGGCTGGCTGGCTGGTGGGTGGGGTGGTGAAGAGGTCAGTGGCAGGCTGGGGAGTGAGGGTGAGCCAGTGGCAGGGGACGGGGGCAGCGGCAGAAGGTAAGGGGCCAGCAGCGGGCAGGCAGATGAGCTGGTGGCAGGGGGAGCAGGCAAGCCAGCGGCGGACAAGCAGGTGAGCTGGCGGCGGTGGCAGTGCGGGGGTGTGAGTAGGCGAGCTGGGGGGGTGAGGGGTTGAGGAGGCGAGTGGGCGGGCAGTGGTGGGGGGGCAGGTGAGCCGGCAGCGGGGGAGAGAGGCTGAGGGGCAAGCAGGTGGTGAGTAGGCGAGCCAGGGGGATAGGGGGCTGAGGAGGCGAGCAGGCGGGCAGTGGTGGGGGGACAGGTGTGGGGGTGACTGAGGAGGCGAGCGGGCGGCGGAGAGTGAGTAGGCGAGTCGGGGGAGAGTGGGGGGGATGACGAGCCAGGTGGGCAGTGGCGGGGGGGCTTTATACTTGGGAGGGAGGGTGAGGAGGCGAGCAGCGAATCGGTGGCTGACCTGTTCTACTGATCTTGTCTCTCATAAAAATTGGTCCTTTTTGCTGCTTTTCTCTGGGCTGGGGGTTGTCCCAATGCTGCAAAGAGGGTGTTCCCAAAGGAAAATGCTTGCTTCTAACCCCAGAGCCGTCAGTATGTCTGCTCTTCTCTAGTCAGCCTACTTGACAAGTTTAATTGTCCTTGGTCTGGCTCCCATCCCCTCTCCAAGGCTTGCAGCTGTCTGGAGGTGCCTGCCTTCCATGCCTTTCTCATTCACACCTCATTCATTCAACAGGGCAATTGATGACAAAGTGGGGGGAAGATCTTATTCTACTTCTAGCAAAAAGACATTTTTTCTTTTACCTTAATTATACTACTTTAGGGGCCCGCTATAACATATTATCAAGGTTCAATATCGCTGTTTCGGCGGGGCGGCGTTGGGGAAGGAGGGTTTGTTTCCGCAGGGGTGGGCGGCGCTGGGGGGGAGGGGTTGTTTCCGCGGGGCCAGGCAGCGCTGGGGTGGGGGTGGGGTGTTTCGGGGCGGCTGGTGGGTTTCGGCCCTCAGCTATTTTCTTTTGAGTAATATGGCCCTCGCTGCTTTAGGAGTTTTGCAGGCCTGCTCTAGAGGAAGAAGTCCTTGGTGCATAGCAGGTTGCTGCCCCCTACTTCAGCTTCTCCAGAACCTCTTGCTGAAGTTCTGGCTGCACTCCTCCCACACTTTTTTCCTTTTGTTCACTCCACAATGTCCCCAGCAATCCGTGTAAATCTCCTCCTGGCCTTGGCCAAACTGTCTAAGAGGCTTCGTTGCAAGGCTCCCTCTGCCTGAATTCCTTGCATTGGTTGTTCCTGCATCCAGACAGAATTCCACTGTGGAGCATGGGACTTGGAGCAGTGGGCATCATGCAGGGGTCTCTGCTTGGTGTCCTTGCACAGGCAACCTCTGTTATCTGCTTGACCCACCCCCTAGACCCAGAGGCAATATGTAACTGTTGGTAGTGGAGGGCACAATTTAAAGGTTTGGGGGGGACATGACTGTACGGGGAAATTTTGGCAAACCAGTAAAGTGCCTGAAACCACTATGGCTTATTGTTAAAAGGCGGCCTAGTCAGCAAGCTGTAAATTGGCCATTCAGCAGCCTCAGCTTGACCAAGGCAGGAGGGGGGAGAGGTTTGGGGTGCCACAGAAAGGGCAGCTTGACCCCGCGTCCTTCCTGATAAGAATTGTGTTGAAGTTGCTGATACATGCATTTTAAAAGAGTAGGCTATGCCCCAGGAATGTCTATTGGGTCTCAAGGCTGCAAACTCTGGAAAAACCCACACCTGGTTAATCAGAAGGAACCTCTTGCTTGACCATTGAAACTGCTTACTTAACAAGATTTCTTTAAGGGACATGTCATTCTATTACTAATGTATAAATAGGGGAAAAAGCTTGAGATAGTTGGACTTATTTGGGGACTCTTTTGGACTTTCCCTCTGGATACATCCTGCAGTCCCCACCAGCAGATGGCCGATTTGGCCACCGGAAGCCTGCCACTGTGTCACTTGAAAGCCACACTCAGCTTTGGTAATTATCAAGGGTTGGGGGTGTTTTACTAATCTTGTTGCGGACGTGTGTAAGTGCTTGAGACTAAATAAAGTTCAGCTTTAAGTGAAAGCACTCTTGTGTTGTCCTGTTTGTGCCAGCCATCTATTGGTCGGATGGCCATGTCTCCCCTGATTTATTTCTTGACACCTTCTCGCACAGAGTAAAAGTTATCAAGAGCTTTTGGTTGAAAGAACCTCGGGTAACATGACGACCCCAGGCATTGCCTCTGAATCTAGAACAGAGGTTTTCAAACTGTGGGGCATGCCCCCAAGAGGGGCACAGAGGAATGTTCGGGGGCCAGGGGGAGCGGCAATGCCACAAGGCTTGGGGAGAGAGCGCTACTTCCACCCCCTGACTCAACCAAAAACTGTAACTCCAAGGTGCGGGGGCGGAGAGGCTCAGCTCAGAAAGTTCCCCCCCAACCCAGACAGGCTGGGTAGCCTGCTGAGGTGAGTTGGGGGTGGAGGTGGTGCTCCATCCCTGAGCCCCACCATGTGGAACTGACCTGAGCCGCCTGGCATCACTGCTCCTCCCCTCCCCCCCCAAAAAACCCAACATTCCTCCAAGCTCCTTGAGGGAGGCGTACCCCAGCTTGAAAACCTCTGAAGCTGTTGCTAAATGGAAGGCATAAAACTGGAGGGTACATGACCCTCACACACCTTGCCTCTACCCAGAACTACACTTTGGTTTCCTTTGTCCCATTCCACTGACCTCCGTTTCTATCCATAAAGCTTTTAAAAATGAAGTTTAGGGTAATTTGCACACTTGCTAATATGCAAATTAATGTATTGGATACTTTGCTTAAAATGTCACACAATGGCTGGCAGTTAATGCACAAAGGAGTGTTGATGAGTCAGTTTCCTTGAACTGAATGCTCACATATTTTGCTTTCCTGTTACAAATACTAACTGTGGGGATCAGGAATCTGCTTGCTATGGCTTGTATTTATTCAAGTTGTTCAAAATAACCAATCAGGCAAACATGACTGTTAGAGAGAGGAGTGGCGGGGGGGAGTCACATTGTCAGTCTCCTTTGCAGTTTTCAGATACTGCTAGTTCCTGATGTAAAGAGATCTGGGTGAGCTCCCACAGGCAACTGCTGGTAAGTGGAACTATCTCTTTGCTTTTCCTTTGTAACATAAAATTCTTACTAGCATTACTGTTCTTTTACTTTGTTTATGCTGTTGCAAAACTGTATTGTATAGTTTCTGTAAAATTTATTTTATTTTCAGTCTTCCTAGATTATTTTTGCTTTCTAAATAATGCAAAATAAATGCTTTAACTTTTGAAGACATTATCAAAGCATGTGCATTACATGCAGATCTATTGCTCCTCGATAGCTGGGAAAAATTATTTAGATTATAGTCCCAGTACATAATAGATCACCTTGATTTAAGCATAAGCAGAGAAGGAGTCTGCACCACTCAGATGTAAACCTGGGGGCATTTCACAAATTTTAGGCTTTGTTTGAAGTGTGAATACTGAGCAGACTCAGGGCTGGACAGTATAGGAGAGAAATATATGATAATGGAACTAAAGTTCAATAGTAGAGCTGGTGAAAAAAGGCAATTCTTTTCAGTGAAAATTTTCAAAGGAAACAAAACTGGTTTTACTTTGTTAAAAAACTCTCACAAAATGTTTCAATTTTTCTATCGAAAGGCTTATTAAAAAATGTGATGCAAACTGAAATGAAACATGTTTGGAATTTGTACCCCCTCCCCCCGGTATCTTTCCTTTTCTCCTCCAGAGACGGATTAGGTTTTTTTAAACAACTAACAAAATCATCCAAAGCACAGGACTTGGTGGTGATAGTGGACTTCAGCTACCCAAACATCAGTTGGGAAGATAGTACTGTAGGGCACAGATTATCCAACAAGTTCTTGGAATGCATAGGAGATTCTTTTATTTCAGAAGGTGGAGAAAGCAACTGGGGAGAGGCGGTTCTATATTTGATTTTTGACAAATAGGAAGGAACTGGTTGAGAATTTGAAAGTGGAAGGCGGTTTGCATGAATGTGATCGAGAAATGATAGAGTTCCTGATTCCAAGGAATAGTAAGAGAGAAAACAGCAGAATAAAGATAAAGGATTTCAAGAAGGTAGATTTTAGCAAATTCAGGGAGTTGGTGAGTAAGATCCCATGGGAAGCAAGTCTAAGGCGAAAAACAGTTTGAGAGAGTTGGCAGTTTTTCAGATAGCCATTATTAAGGGCCCAAGAGCAAACTATCCTACTGTATAGGAAAAATAGGAAGTATGGCAAGAGACCACTCTATCTTAACCAGGAGATCTTCAATGATCTGAAAATCAAAAAGGAGTCCTACAAAAAAATGGAAACTAGATCAAATTATGAAGGATGAATATATTAAAAAAAAAACCCCACAAGCATGTAAGGACAAATTTAGAAAGGCCAAAGCACAAAACAAGATTCTATAAACTAGAGACATAAAGGTAACAGGAAAACATTCTACAAATACATTTGAAGCAAGAAGAATACCAAGGATAGACAATAACAGAAAATGTGGAAATGGCAGAAGAGCTAAATACCTTCTTTGATTCAGTTTTCACCAGAAAGGTTAGCGATCGGACATCTAACATAATGAACATGGAAAATTGTAGAAATTCCAGAGGACTGGAAGATGGCAAATATAGTGCCAATCTATAGATAAAGGAATAAGGACAGCCCGAGGAATTACAGACAAGTCAGCTGAACTTCAGTAGCCAGAAAGATAATGGAGCAAATAATCAAGCAATCAAATTATAAACACTTAGAAGATAATCAGGTGATAAGTAACAGTCAGCATGGAATTGTCAACAACAAATTATGTCAAATGAACCTGCTAGCTTTCTTTGATAGGGTAACAAGCCTTGTGGAAGTGGTAGACGTGGTATATCTTGACTTTAGTAATGCTTTTGATCAGTGGTGGGCAACCTGACAGTTTGTTTATATTTGCAGGGCTGCCCGCAGCTCCCAGTGGCCGCGCACGGTTCGCCGTTCACGGCCAATGGGAGCTGCGGAAACAGCGGCCAGTATGTCCCTGTGGTCCGTGCTGCTTCCCGCAGCTGCCATTGTCCAGGAACCACAAACCACAGCCACTGAGAGCTACAGGCGGCCGTGCAAATGAAAACAAACTGTCTGGCGGCCCGCCAGTGGATTATCCTGACAGGTTGTGTGCAGACCTCAGGTTGCCCACCAGTGCTTTTGATACTGTCTTGCATGACTTACTCATAAACAAACTAGGGAAATATAGCCTAGTTGGAGCTACTATAAGGTGAGTAAATAACTGGTTGGAGAACCGTTCCCAGAGTAGTTATCAGTGGTTCACAGTCAAACTGGAAGGGCATATTGAATGGGGTCCCGCAGGGATCAGTCTTGGGTCCAGTTCTGTTCAATGTCTTCATCAATGATTTAGATAATGGCATAGAGCAAGGGTGGGCAAACGTTTTGGCCTGAGGGCCACATCTGGGTATGGATATTCTATGGCAGACCATGTATGCTCATGAAATTGGGGTTGGGGTGCAGGAGGGGGTGAGGGCTCTATCTGGGGGCATGGCCAGAAATGAGAAGTGCAGGAGGGGGCTCTGGGCTGGGGGTTGGGGTACGGGGGAGTGAGGGCTCCAGCTGGAGGTGCGGGCTCTGGGGTGGAGCTGGGGATGAGGGGTTTGGGGTTCAGGAGGGTGCTCTGGGCTGGGATCAAGGGATTCGGAGGGAGGGAGGGAAATCAGGGCTGGGGCAGGGGGTTGGGGTGCAGGAGGGGCCCAGGGGTGCAGGCCCCGGGTGGCACTTACCTCAAGCAGCTCCTGGAAACAGCAGCATGTCTGCCCTCTGGCTCCTACACAGAGGCATGGCCAGGCAGCTCTGCGCACTGCCCCGTCCACAGATGCTGCCCCTGCAGCTCCCATTGGTCGCAGTTCCCAACCAATGGGAGCTCTGAGGGTGGTTCTTGGGGGAGGGGCAGTGTGCAGAGCCCCCTGGCTGCTCCTACGTGCTTCTACGCTGCTGCTTCCGGGGACCATGACACACATGTGCAGGGAAAGCTCCAGACCCCACTCCCCGGCGGGAGCTCGAGGGCCAGATTAAATTGGCTGGCAGGCCGGATGAGCAACAAAAATGATTGAAGGTCTAGAAAACATGACCTATGAGGGAAGATTGAAAAAATTATGTTTTTTTTAGTTTGGGGAAGAGAAGACTGAGGGGGGACATGATAACAGTTTTCAAGTACATCAAAGGTTGTTACGAGGAGGCTAAACAATTGTCTCTTTAACCTTTGAGGATAGGACAAGAAGCTTAAATTTCAGCAAGGGCGGTTTAGGTTGAATATTAGGAAAAAACTTCCTAACCGTCAGGGTTGTTAAACCCTGGGAAAAAATGTGCCTAGGGAGTTGGTGGAATCTGCCACTGGAGGTTTTTAAGATCAGGTTAGACAAACAATTGTCAGGAATTAGTCCTTCCTTGAGTACTGAGGACTGGTCTAAATGACCTCTCAAGATCCCTTCCAGTCCTACACTTGTATGATTTTCTTCAGTGGACAAGAGTGGGGAGGGAAGGGGTAAGAAAGGGGGAAGGGAGAAGAAAAATGGGGGAAAAAAAAGTTTTGAGTCCCACTCAATCAAAATGATTTTTTAAAATTTCAGTGAGAAATCAGAAAAAATGGAAGAATTCAATTTTTTAAATGCAGATGTTCATGTTCAAAAAAGATATTTTTCATCAGAAAAAAAGGTTTTACATAAAAACTTTTGACCGTCTCGGATATCTACCTGTGTCATTTCTGACAACAGGTGCATGATAAGGAGATGTTGCATTCCTGTTTTATGAAGGAGATGGGGTCCCGCTTGCCTCTGTCCCCTGTGTGGGTGGTTACACAAAAGCTGCCAGTGAGAGTCATGCTAATACAGTCTCTAACCTGCTGTATTCCAGGTGAGAGCGTCCCAGCAATTTATAATGTCATTGCATTTTCAGTATTGTTTTATATCATGTTCTTTGTATAACCTAATATTTCTTTTGCTTTTTTGTCCACTGTTATTTATTTATTAGTTAATATCGCAGGAGCAAGATAAAACCCTATTGTGACAGTCTCTGTACAAACACAGAGTTAAAAGGACAGCCCCTGTCCCAAACAGGGCCACCCAGAGGATTCAGGGGGCCTGTGGTCTTCGGTGACAGGGGGCCCCTGCCGCCGAATTGCCGCTGAAGACCCGGCACTTTGCAAAGGGTCCCAGGGTGGAAGGACCCCCCGCCACAGGTCTTCAGGCCACTTTGGCGGTGGGTCCCGGAGTGGAAGGACCGCCCACCGCGGGTCTTCAGGGCACTTCGGTGGCGGGTCCCGGAGCAGAAGGACCCCCCGCCACCGAACTGCCGCCGAAGACCCGGCGTGGAAGAAGCTCCGGGGGCCCGGGCCCCGTGAGTTTTCCGGGGCTCCTGGAGCGAGTGAAGGACCCCGCTCCAGGGTCCCCAGAAAACTCTCGTGGGGGCCCCTGCGGGGCCCAGGGCCTGGGGCAAATTGCCCCACTTGCCCCCCCTCTGGGCAGCCCTAGTCCCAAAGAGTTTAAAGTCTAATTTAATTCAAGATACATTAGTGAGTGTAAACAGCAGGGGAAATGGAAATAGATGGTCAATTCTTCCCAATGCCAGAGAATCTAAGAGTGAAATTTGGGCACTGGAGGGCAAAAACCAGTTATATCAAAGCTGGCTGCTAGGAAGTGGTTGGGCAACAAAAGGAGGGGTGCAGGAGAAAACGAGGAAACCACATATATCTGGTTGGAGAACTTTCCAGGAGGTTTGTGGATGGATAAGGGGGCTTAGTGGAGTTGGATCACTTGCAGGAAGGGTAAATCAGGCATCAGCGGTTGAGGATTGTTGAATTGAGGGGCTATGATTTAGTTAGTACAATTCTCCTCAGTGCTTGAAAAGCTAAATGGAAAATGTCCAAGAAAAAGCTTCCAAGCCATTAAATCATAAACGGCTATCACATCCTGTAAACAGTAACGACATTAGAGAGGGGAACATCTGCTTAGAAAGAGCTTGTGAGAGTAGCAAACACACTGTATGTGGAGGAGAGATAGGAGGGCGGAAAGGAGAAGGTCAAAAGGAGGCAGCTAATAGCATAACAGGCAGTAGATACTGGAAGCTGGAGTGGATAACATCCAAGGGCCTTTCCTGCACCAATAGTGATGATACTCAGCCATTCACTGTGAAGTTTGTTTTTTAAAATTAAGTTAGAAGTAAATGTCATGTGCCTGATTCGTCAATGCCACGTAGCTAAGTCAGGGTACGTTTACAAAGCCCACAGCAGCAAGGCTCAGAGCCTGGGTTGACAGATTTGAGCAACAAATGGCAGCTCGGACTGGAGCCCACCTTCCTCCATAGGCTTGAGAGTCAGAGCTTCTGCCTGAGCCACAATGTCTGGGCAGCTATTTTCTGTCAACCCGGGCTCTGAGACTTGCTGCTGCTTGCTGGGTAGACGTACCTCAGTGGCCACTATAAAGGGACTGTTCTAGGCTCATGCCTATTTCTCCATCCATTACTGTTTTCTGCTCCACACACACCCAGACTAATCAGCGCCCCCCCCCTCCCGCAACCTTCTAAAATAGCCTCTCTCTAGGGGCATGTTTTACACCCCTTTGAAGTCAATGACAGAAAAATCATATAGCCATTATATAAATCCATGGTACACCCACATCTTGAATACTCCGTGCAGATGTGATTGCCCCATCTCAAAAAAGATATATTGGATTTGGAAAAGGTTTAGAAAAGGGCAACAAAAATTATTAGCGGTATGGAATGGCTTCCGTATGGGGAGAGATTAATAAGACTGGGACTTTTCAGCTTGTAAAAGACAACTAAGGGGGGGATATGATTTGAAGTCTATAATCAGGACCGGTGTGGAGAAAGTAAAGAAGGTAGTGTTATTTACTCCTTCTCATAACACAAGAATTAGGGGTCATCAAATGAAATTAATAGACAGCAGGCATAAAACAAAAGAAAGTATTTATTCACACAACACATAGTCAGTCTGTGGAACTCCTTGCCAGAGGATGTTGTGAAGCCCAAGACTATAACACGGTTCAAAAAAGAATTAGGTAAATTCTTGGAATTTCTAGGTCCATCAATGGCTATTAGCCAGGATGGTCAGGGATGGTGTCCCTAGCCTCTGTTTGCCAGAAGCTGGGAATGAGTGACGGGATTGATCACTTGATGATTACCTGTTCTGTTCATTCCCTCTGGGGCACCTGGCATTGGCCACTGTCAGAAGACAGGACACTGGGCTAGATGGACCTTCAGTATGGCCGTTCTTATGTTCAGTGGGACTCTCTTCATTGACTTCAATGGGATTTGAATGAGGCTCAAAGTTAGGAGGTTTTGTGTGTGACACTGTAAGTTACTAATATCCGTGAATAGACATTTCTGCCTTGTCATTTACTGTAACATAGAAGATCATTTAATTCCCAATTCTGGCAATTCCTTCTCTCTTGTGCAGGGCCTGCCTTTCTTCACTATAGTGAAGGAAAGACTTTCACCAGCAGGTGTATTCCTGGAAAACCTACTGGACAGGGGTTGTGATTGCTGGTAATAGAGGGAGGGGCAAAAGGAGAAGGGGGTGTCGATAGGATAAAAGGATGGGGGAAATCTGAAAACAGCCTTCTAGATTAGAGACCTTCAGTGGCACGATAAGATTGCCAGTGATTGACAGAAACTGATTATGCAACCAGACCAGCTTAAAGACCTCGCTGGAAATCAATCCAAGTGTCCCTCAGTCTGTAAGGGGGCCATGTCATTTTGGGATTTGCCATGATGATGAGGATGAATTAACAAAAAATAAATCCCTGAGGAGAAATTCTAGCAGCAGGTGGTTTATATTGCTTCATATTTAGGTTTCAGATAATCACAGATGATTACTAAAGAAGTTAAAGCCTGAAGTTCAAGGTCACAGGGGATTAAAAAGCAGGTGCCAGGCATATAAACGAAAGGGTATTTCCAGGTTAGACTCCACCTGCCAGACACATGTATATCTCTCTGCATAAGACTATCTATTGTAGTACTAAAATTTTGTTGAGCAGATGAATACAATTTCTAAATGCACCTGTTGCAGCCTTAAATCCAGTTTCAAGCTGAATTTCTCCTTCAGGTAATGGGGGAAACACAGTCATCTATTTACTAAGTGCCTGATTCAAAGTTCATGAATGGGAATTGTTCCCTTGGCTGCAGTGTGCCCCTAAAAACAACATTTAAAAATGGAATTTCAGTAGTGGGCAGGCCTGAAGTTCTCGTGTTGGGGCAGGTATGTGGATTTAAGTTTCTAATAATTCTTAGCACATATGTAGGGCTAGAGTCAAGGACTATTACACTGGCCCATCTGGAGGGGAAGGTGTAGAGTTATGCTGCTTTGGGACACAAACACTCTCAGTGTGGAAGGGAACCCACATACACTCTGCCCCCACTCCATAGCACCCTGTTCATCCATCCCGCCTCACAGATAGGTGCACTAGGGAATAAGGCCATGGTCATGCTTCTCCCCATCCTTTTTGGTGTCATTTCTGCTTTTTGGGTGGTAGGAGAAGAGAGAGCAATTCTTGTGTTTTCCAACACAGGAATCCCTGTGGAGGGGACTGGGGCAGATACAGGAATGGCACGAAGGATGTGGGAGGTTTTACCAACACTACTGATTCTCACAACAGTTTTGAGTTAGGTAGGGAAATTATCCCTTGATTTCATCTTTGTCTCAGTGACTTAACTCGGGGAGGGGGGTCAGTTTTAGTTGGAATTATATCCCAGGGGTTCCTGGCCTCTAATCCAGTGCTAAGACCTGTGCTTTGGGGACAATTACTAATTATTGCTGCGGCAAAACAAAATTTCCCCAGAAGGTCATCAGATCCCCAGGAGCTCCACAATTCCTCTCCTCCCCTTTTTCCAACATCCTTCACAGCCCCGAATGTCCAATGTTGCGTTAAGACACTCCTCAATAGAGGAAAGCTATACACAGCTTCTACCACAGCCTTTCCTTGGGTCAGCCCTAGAACAAGTACGACCTTAGCTCTGGCCGTGCCTGATGCTAAATGTGCAGACTTCGCATTCTCCTATGGAACTGCAGGTCACTTGCAGTGATTGCATTGATCCCATCATTACCGTGTGTGTTGCTGATTTTTACTGTATGTTTCCACAGGGTCCTGCTGGCATTGTACCAAAATGTTACCAGCTAGTGCAGGCCTCCTCGGCAGGATGAATTACAGAATTTTGAGCCAGTGCCTGAGTATGTATAAATTCCTTCCAGTACCAAAACATATCTAAGAACAGTATTAGTTGGACACTGAAATGTGTGTCAATCTCTGTTTTAAGCCCTTTTTGCGCATTGTATTCTGGAGCAGCCAGGATCTGTCTGACCACTTGTGTAATCTAGATCAGCCTCAGGGCTGCTCCAATTTATGCTCTGCTTCCCATGGCCCACAAGGCATTAGCAAGCTAAAAAATAGCAGTAGTGCAGGGCAGTTTGCCCATGGTCCTTTTCAATCCCAACTGTAGTAGCGTCGATGTGGTGGCACAGGCTTCAGCATCTACTAGCAACATGAGTATATACCTCAGCTTCTACTCAGGCAGCTAATCTGTGCCCCCATGTCTTCACTACCATTGTTACCCATGTTTGCTAGATTAAAGCTAGCACTGGTATTTGTAGATTCCATGGCCAGAAGGGACCATTGTGATCATCTAGTCTGACCTTCTATATAACACAGGCCAAAGAACTGCCCCAAAATAATTCCTAGAGCAGAGCTTTGAGAAAAACATCATCCAGTTTTGATTTAAAAATTGCTACTGATGGAGAATCTACCACAACCATTGGTTGGTACATTGTTCCAACAGTTAAATTATCTCACGTTTAAAAAATTATACTGTATTTCCAATCTGAATTTGTCTAGCTTCAACTTCCAGCCATTGGATTATGTTAAACCGTTCTCTGCTAGATTGAAGAACCTATTATCAAATATTTTTCCCATGTAGCTGCTTATAGATATGATCAAGTCCCTCCCTTAACCTCCTCTATAAGCAAATTATATTGAGCAACTTGAGCCTATCACTATGAGGCATGATTTCTAATGCCTATCTGTGCTACAATCACACCCTCATATTGCAATGCAGACATACCCAGAGCCCTCACTCCAGCTCTACATTGGCTGTGGAGATCCTCTACATGAAGAGTATCCTCAGGGACTCATTTCCACCCCATTTAAGGGCACCTTACACTACCAGAACAGCACAAATTAGCCTACGTGTGAGTAGGAATCAGAATATGCTGGTGCAGCCTCTGTTCGCATTACATTCTCTGCACTAGCTCGAGCCCAGCCTTTGGCACTCAACTCTGTTTTACTGAGTGATAACAATGACGAGACTTACCTGGGTATGAAGAACATAAGAATGGCCACACTGGGTCAGACCAATGATCCATCTAGCCCAGTATCCTGTCTTCTGACAGTGGCTAATGCACCACTGGAATTGTAGGTGAATAATTACCACCACTTGCTTTGGGACCCCACATTTTGGCTCTCTCGGGGTACATTTTGACCCAAGACCAGCCCCAAGTGCCCACGAAAAGTGCTGGGTGGAGAGTACTTGAGAGAGAAGTGCTCAGTTTGTTCAGTGAGGGCCTTATTCACTAGTGCTCTCTGGCCTGAAAACTGGCCACAAAGCAGCTGACCAGCTGAGTCCTCTCCCCACTATCCATTCTGGTAAGGGGCCTGCCTGCCAGGCGCAGAGGTAGCTTTATTAACTGTCCACTGCCTTTAGTGGAGCTCCCAGAAGAATGATTGAGAGGAGGTGTGGCTGCAGCATCCCTATGCCTTGTCTAGTCCCAGCTTGTAGCCAGGCCAATGGCAGACAGGGCACAAGTTAGGGTATCCCTCAGAGCTGCTCTAAGCTACCCGGAGAGTTAAACTGGTCCCTCGAAACGAGGCCTACAATAAGCACAGGATGGGGAACAACAGCAATGAAAACATTCTACGTTAGCCCTTGCCAACATGCCCCAACCCTGTCAGGATGCACCACTTCTGTGCCTGTTCCATTCTTGGCCACCGTTCTGAGGCTGCCAGCCTCTGAGATGAGGTGGCTAAGTGGTAAAGACAATGGACCGCTAAACCCCTGTTCTCTGCATGTATGAGGCTGAATCTTCCACTTTACCACTGGAACAACTTACCAAGGGCTGCGGGATATTCGCCAGGACTGGCAATTTTCAAATCAAGATTGGGTGTCTTTTTCTAAAAATAGATGCTCTAGTTCAACCAGGAATCATTTCAGGAAAGTCCTAGGCCCTGTGCTATACCCCAGGTCAGCCGAGATGATCAGTGATCCCTTCTGGCCAAACAAGAGTGCCAGTTGCAGTTCAGATACAGGTTCAGATTTCAACTCCCTCCCCTGCCCACATCACCAGAATCCAGGGATGTCTGAATTTGGGATTCTGGCTCACACCTCTCTATTGATACATCTACACTTACGGTGGTGTGTAGAGTACATTCACTGCACACACCCCTAGTACAGCTATAAATAACTTTGTAGATGGTTAGGCACTGCTTAGGCAAACAGAGAAGAGACCTGGTGAGTAGGTACCCTACATGTTTCTGTATACCCAAGCTGTGCCTCCCCCATCTATGCTGCAATGTCCCCATGTGCTCACTGCCAGAGCCTTTCACCCACTGCAGTGAGCTGCCAGAACCTTTCCCTGGTGCCTCCTCTCTGCCAGAGTCTTTCACGGGCACATGTAGCTATACACCGCAGCGTGAATGCAGCCTGCTTTTCACTGTGGCATGTAGCTACACATACCCTACACGCCACCAACATAGATGAGGCCTAATTGTGATCCAGCCACCTGTCCAGTAGGAAATGGACAGAGAGCACCAACTGCTTAAACATATGCCACCCAACCACCATCAGAAAGGTTAATGTTTCATCACAGCCTTTCTGGTCCGGATTCACATTAACGTCCCTGAGGAACAGGTCCCCATTACCATTCCCCTGTCCTAGATCCCCAAATGAACATTGTTTCATAGATCTGGGATAAATACAGCATAAGACTAATTAGCCTGGCTCTTCCTGTCTTCCCTTTCTCTCTAGTGCTGCTACTGGTTTTCCACTGGTCTCCAAAAATAGCAGAAGCCCAAGAACATAGAACCGTTGGTACGGGCTCTTCAGTGCTGTTGACTGCATTGCCCATCAATGACCAAACAGTCATAAAACATATACTGTGGGAATGCATAAGTAGTGCCCAAACTCCCAGTATTGTGGATTACTATGGAACTGGAACAGAACCTATTATCTCTAATTCCTATAAAGACAGAATCATTTTCTATTCATCCAATGGCTCCCTCTTGTTGAAAAACGTACAAGAGACAGACAGCGGGACCTACAGAGCTACCGTCAATTTGAACAAAATTGAAGCCAGGCAAACTACACTGCTAGTCTTAGGTAAGTGAAAGAGCAGAAGTATTTATAAAACAGCTGGCAGCACAGAAAATTTTTTACTGAATAGATCACACTAATATGAACAGAGGCTCTGCGGGTGCATGTTTCAAGGAAGCAGCTGCACAACCTGTTCACCACATGAAACAGCCTTGCAGTCATTTATAAAACATTTACCCCTGTAAGATTGGACAAGGATCTGTTACGCTTGACAAGGGGATGACGCTTCTAAAAAATGAAAAATAAGCTGGATAATATCAGAGGGAAAAAGTTTTAGTCAATTCTGACTTTGCAGGGAAAATGCCAACTCTCATATCACTACCATTATTTTCTTGGAGGTCTCGCATCAAAGTCACCCTAACTTGATCCTGACTAACTTATTAAAGCAGAACCCAAGATGGTGTGGCTGAAGAACAGAGAGACTCTGGTTCTAGCCACACTACACGTGTACATTTTTACCCAAGCAAGAAATCCCAATTTTGATTTCACTGAGTTGTATATTAAGGTTCTGCACCATATAGTCATAATGTCCTTTAACCTTGTATATGGCACTGAAAAATAGTCTTCCAAAAGTGGTGGAGACTCCATCTCTGGTAAACTATATAACTAGACTGGAGAACGTACTGAAATATATTGCAGGGAATATCCCTACACAGCACCCTAAGAATTGACAGACTAGGTTGTTTATGATTCTATCAGGACCATATCATTTGAGAACAAGACATTTCTAAGTGGGTTAGAGCAAAGGAGTAAGGAGACAAACACAAATTAATAAGGTTGAAAGACAATGGTGTTAAAAAAAACCTCCCTCAAGACTCAGTATCTCAGAACTCTTGTACTGAGGATTACCTAGGCTATGAAAGTTTAGACGTGAGCTGATAGAGTTTGGCTTTTGATGTCTACTGAGCTATTAATCAAGCCTACATCACTGGATGTTAGATGTATTCCTAAAACTTGTGAAATCATCGTCTATCATATAGATAAGCAGATTTAATTGTTTGATTTAGATGCCTAACTTTAGATACCCGAGTTTGTACATTTCAACCAGGATTTTAAATGTGTATATAATCTCACTTCCTCCCCCTCCCCCACCCCCCAGAGCCTATGTCCAAAGCTCAGATCCAGATAAATTCTACTGTGGCTGGTTCATCCATTGAATTATCCTGCAAGGTGCTGGTTGGCAAAGTGCAAGCTATTGACTGGAAGAAAGATGGGAAGCCCCTACCCAGGAACAGATGTTACCAGGTCTCTGAAAACTTCAGTCTTTTGTACATACCAGAAGTGCAGAAATCAGATTGTGGATCCTTTTCCTGCAATGCCAGCAATGATATAAGCTGGCAGGAAACCTCAGTGAATTTGACCATTGAAGGTAAGTGTTGTATTAGCATCTTCGACTGCAAACACTTGTCATGGCTAGTGCCAAACCTGATGCTTAGCAGTGCCACATGTTACCTTCTTCAGGTTGCAGATTAGATTAAGGATGAAATGGCAATGCTAATCTTGCATATTCTTCTTCCCTTTTCACAGTTCCTAGGATTAATTCTATTAAGCATCCATGCAAATAACACAACCTTAGAAAGTAAAATTGCATAGAGTGATGTTAGAAGATCCTCTTCGGATAACATTACAAGTCTTTTGCTATGTTGTAGCAACACTGCTTATAGAAGGCCTGACTCACTGCTGCAGGATGCCAGTTTTGAAACAGCATGTAACTCCTCTGAAATCAATGAGTTACCCCAGCACAAAACTAGAGCAATGCAATGGTGAATCAGGCCCAGCGAAACATACATGTTGATGCTTCCTGACTTATGCAAGGGCTCATACAGACAGTCCCAGGAAGGATGAAAGTCTGATCCATGTAACTGATTTAATCTTCACACCTATTGTGGAACCCTGTAGTTAGCATCTTTAAAAGCTTCCAACATTTGCATGAGACATCTGACTCGATTTTCTACAATACCTCGTACTGTTTTCCAAAGTGTTACATATATTTAAAACTTATGGTAGAAATTGACAAGTTTGGGTACCCAAAGTGAGGTATCTAGGCTTAGGCCTGGTCTACACTAGGAGTTTATCTTGAATTTAGCAGCATTAAACCAAATTAACCCTGCACCCGTCCACACAACGAAGCCCTTTACTTCAATATAAAGGGCTCTTAATATCGATATCTGTATATATCCTCCCCGACGAGGGGAGTAGTGCTGAAATCGGTATTGCCATTTCGGATTAGGGTTAGCGTGGCCGCAATTCGACAGTATTGGCCTCCGGGAGCTATCCCACAGTGCACCATTGTGACCTCTCTGGACAACAATCTGAACTTGGATGCACTGGCCAGGTAGACAGGAAAAGCCCCGCGAACTTTTGAATTACATTTCCTGTTTGCCCAGCGTGCAGAGCACAGGTGACCATGCAGAGCTCATCAGCACAGGTAACCATGCAGTCCGAGAATTGAAAAACAGCACCAGCATGGACCGTACGGGAAGTACTGGATCTGATTACTATATGGGGAGAGGATTCAGTGCTAGCAGAACTACGTTCCAAAAGACGAAATGCCAAAACATTTGAAAAAATCTCCAAGGGCATGATGGAGAGAGGCCACAATAGGGACTCATTACAGTGCCACAA